AGACAGACTCAAAACTAGGGGGGCATGTGATGGATTAGGGATTTTTCCTAATCCAATATTATTTGAACAGTGCAAGAAAGCCCAATTTTATCTAGCCCAAGAGATAAATTAGATAAATTATCCAAGACAGAACCAGAAATATATGGACAGAAGAATATATTTGAAGTGATGTGGAGACATTTGGCGGGACCCGTGGAACACTACCACATGAAAACCACATGCCGCACATGGGCTTCACATGGACAATGTCCCTTCTTGTCTCCACCAATTATTCCCTTCCCCCCTTTAAATGAAGCTACGAAGAGAAGGAAGGGGGGCCAAGGCTAGATTCCTACAACATGTTCCTACAATTCTTCATTATCCTTCTTTTAGCTTGGAGCTCCATTAATGGCTCCAAGCTCCTACAGTGATGTATATGTAAATTCCCCCGAGATTAATAAAAGTTTCTCCCCTTTTGGCATGGCACCGCCTAAAAAGGCCCGTGGTTTTCTCCCGATTTGGGTTTCCACGTATAAATACTTTCTCTCCGCTTTATTTATTTATTTAATTTCCGGATTTCGCTATTCGGTGCGGCGCCGACCCGGTACCGATTTCGTCGGGTCGACGCCCCGAAAAAGCGGTTTCCATCACGGTTATACCTTTGATTTTCCGGTTATACTTCAATCTCACATTATCTGAAAGGTACATCGTGATACCCTCAATTTTCTGGTAAGAATTGTCAAGTCTCACATCTTCCAAGTTATATTTCAGGGTTCTTAAAATGTGTGATATTATACGTTCATGGTACATTTCGTTTATTTAGAAGTTAAGATTGAAAGTTTTCTTTACTTTGACAAATTGAAGAGTTTTATTCAAATTTAATAAAACATAATCTTTCACGCCTCGATATTACCAATAGCGTAGCCCGGAAAAATGTATGTGGATGGAGGGCTCCTTGCATATCAGAATAAAGAGGGGAAGTGGGAAAAGAAGGAAGATGATCTGAATTCTGAATTATATTTTGTAAAAAGATGAATAGATAGAGTGCGAGATAAAAGAGGATTCTGTGATGGATTTATAAAAGTACATTACCGAAATTACATCCGATGTTGTTCCGTTACGAGCCAAAAATTTCAACAATACCAACCTTAGCACCAAGCTCTCATGTATAGATAAACCCTCTAGTTGGAAGACAATCTCCTTTCTTAAAATTTTGTTTTTTCAATAGGTGTCCTAACTGTAGCAAAGACAACTACAAAGTACAGACAGTTGAACCTAACAAAACCATCATAGTCTATTGTTCATTTATTCTAAAAATTTCAAAGAACTCTATGGTTTTCTTGGAGAACATATGGGGCACACCCCACCCAATACAGACTCCAGACATTTACACACATTTGATTAGCATGGAAGCTTGAACCCCATATATCTCCCACTTGTGTAATCCTTCCACACTCTAACAGCTCCAAGACTTGTCATCAGGACAGTACTCAAAGCCATAACCGTTCCCACGGAGAAAACGATGATCGATGCTCTCCCGTGCTTCTCTATGGCCCTCTGCACTACCACGAGCCCGATGATGGAAGCGACGAAGCAAATGGTCGCAAAGACCACGGCGCTTCCTGTGTGGTCCATTCCCAGTAGCATATACTGAACCACTGACATGGTAGAGGAGAACAGCACCATGAACGAGCAGGTTGCGGATGTGATCTGGCGTTCAAGGAAAGCGGTTAAAAGTAGGGAAAATGGGGCTTTTATCAAACGAAGAAGCGGTGTAATTGGAGGGAAATGATACTTGAGGCGGTATTCCGAGTTGAATGAGAAGGGGACTGATGAGCATTCCACCTCCAACTCCAAACACTCCTCCCAAAACCCCTGCCATTAGGGCCATCACTGGGAAAAGGAACTTGTTTGGTCCTTGCCTACTTTCTTTCTCTTCTTCCTTCACAAAATAAATTAAATATAATGCATACTTGAAAGGCATGATCAAGATTATTAATGGTTAGTACTCCGTCAAAGAGATCCGTACCAGATCAAATCAGAAACAATTTTAAATAAACCTATAATTAGATCAGAAACAATCAGATCAATTAAAGAGAACAAGCCTTAAAGCACCTGGTCTTGGGAAAATGAAGTCTGCCATCTTTGGTTGTTAAACAAGATCCATGCTGTCAAACTCACAGCAAGAGGTATATGAATTGCTGAGATGATCCAATACACCACTCCACAAGCTTCTATCTGAACAATCCCCTGCAAATCATTGCCATTCTAATGTGCATTCAAATTAACATGAAAGCACAAAAAAACTAATTCCCAAGTCCCATTTGGTATCATTAATCCTCTCATACTACTTATCAACATAAAACAAGTAGTGTTTGCCTCGCTTATTTGTCCGAAACCCGGTTTTAAGAAACAATTTCCTTGGATTCAGCCAAAAACAAGCACTACCAAACGGGTGCTTTCGCGCAAATGATGGGAACACATACATACATACGTGTCCATATCGGTTCCCGCGGAAAAGATGGAGGGCGAAGAAGCACAACCAGATCATAAGTAACATTCCAAGCTTCATTCCATGGCGGCTCCCATCCACCCTGCAGCACAAGCCATTTTCTTCACAGGACCTCTCTTCTTTATCCACCACCAAAGCAGTCTCCATTTCTGAGTCTCCATTTCTTGTCTCTGTCTCCAATTTCCAGTACAAAATCCCAGACCTGCAAGTGCTGAAAGTTGACCAGACAAGAAACACAGCGAAGAGAACAGTGATGAGCCATTCTGGGAAAACCCCATTGCAAATCACTCCAATGCTCACTCCCAACAACATCGACGGCTCCGACAGCAAAGCTATGTCTAAATCTACGAGAACCTTCCCCCCTCTCTGCATAAAGAAGTTACAGACAACGTTTGACACTATTCCTCCCGTTACCATGAACGCCGAGAAACCCGATGCGGTTTTAAGGTCTAATCCGGCGACGATTGTGAGAATCGGGATGTATAAACCCCCGCCGCCGATTCCTCCGGCGCTGGAAATTGTGGCGGCTATGAAAGATAGGATTCCGGCGACCACCACCGGAGCTTCCACCGTGAAATTCCCTTCTCCAGATTGGGTCGGGAATTGATGGATCGAATTCGAGAAAATGCCTGCGGCTTCTTCTGCATTTGAAGCATTGCAAAGAATCAGAAGAATTAGGGAAACCTGGAATTTCAGGATGCCGGAACTGTGCATTTTCTCCGGCGGGGAAAAATCAGATTGTGTGCTTTCATCGGGAATTAGAGACAAAGAAGATGCGGAGGAGAACGAGAGTGTGCGGCATTCGTGGCGGAAAAAGGGGGTGAGCTCGCCAGGTGTCAGAGGCGCCATGAAATTGCTTCAATCTTCTACAGTTTATCAAGCCAGGAAAGTTGAGTACCGTCCACATCACCAATAAGGGATCAATTTTTTGAGTAATGAAAAACATGAAGAAAAGTTATTTGAAAAAATTTCAAAGAAATCAAATAAATTTGAAAATAATTGGGAGAAATGGATTGAATAAAAAGAATTGACAGAAATGAAATTATTATTACTCCCTATATTTTTCAAATTTTATACTCATTATTTTTATAAAATAAATTTTATATACTTAAAAATTACGGAGTATATACCCATTGGCAACCCAAATTGGGTGAAACATCAAGAAAAAAAATCACTTCCTCGGTCTTGAGTAAATTGTTCCAATTTTTTAAATTATATATCTCATAAAATATTTTAATTTAGCCTAAATAGACATGTACTAATGCTATTACTTTTCTTAAATCTATCGAACCTACCTCAATTATCTTTTGTTACGACCTACATATTTTGACATTTCTCGAGCCCTACTCGTTTCAATTATTGTCCTTTCACCTTGGTCAAAGTTCACTACAATTTCCCTCCAAAAGTTAAAATAGAAAATGTTTTACAGAACAAAGAAAGTAAGAGGGACCTAATATTTTATTTTAATTTTAAATCGAATATACATAGATGGGGGGACATGTGATTGAAAGCTTCATCCGCATCCATTCAGACTCACCATTTGGTTCATCTATGATTCATTATAATTATTCATATTAATTATTTTGGGTTTTTATCATTTATAGCGGGTCGAGTGAGACGTGTGTCTAGTCATTGGGTCACGTAGAAATTGTCATCTCTACATGTTTTCTATTCAACTTCACTTAATTTTCTCATCACTTTCTCTCCATTCATTTTTTCTCCTAATCCAAACAAAGGGTCGGGTTTAATTACTACAATCTCATATTTACCACTACTAATTATGACATTGCCTATCAAACAATATTTTGTCATTATTAATCTATATCTTTAATATCTTATTTTACTCATCACATTTAAAGATAAAACAGAAATTAAAGAAACAAATAAATCATACTCCCTCCCTCCATAAATAAAGTTTTCGTTGCCCGTTATCATGTTTGAATGAAGTTATTTTTCAAATCATTTTATATGAAAAATGGTTTGGATTTAAAAAATAAAAATTACATATTTAAAAAATACATGAAAAGATCTGCAAAACTAGATGTGACATGACTATACTATTTTATGAAATAGGCCAGAAAATAAAAATAGACTAATAAAATGAATAAAATTTGACCTTGTGAACAATGAACAAGAATTTTATTGTTGGACGGAGTGTATTACAGTACTTAATAACTATTCCCTTTGTTTCATAAAAAAATAAGAAATATTTGCACTAAATAGCACTAAAACTTAAGTCATTTCCCTAAATAACACTTAAACTCTTTTTTCCTAAATAGCACTTAATAATGTCCAGTGATGGCAAACATTTACTTCAATAATGACTAATGGAAAATGACTAGAAGTGCTACATTAGAAAAAACACATATGATGTTATTTAGAAAAAGTCATTATGTTTTAGTGCTATTTAAGTAAATTTCCCAAAACTTAACCCACCCTACTAAAAAACACTGCTTATTTCCTTTTTGCTTACAAGTTACAATCTTTCTCTCTATCTTCTTCATCATTTCAATTTTTAGCTACACATTTTCATTTTCATTAAATTTTGTATAATATCAACTCAAACAAAAATAGTCTTTTTTTATTTAGAATCGGAAAGGGGGCTGATAAACTTTTTTGGATGTACAAAAAAATTACATTTATTATATTTCTTATTTTAAAAAGAGTAAATTCCCAAAATGGTCCTTTGTAATAAGGTGTTTTCCCAATTCAGTCTTCAATAAGTTTTAATTACCTACATGGTCCTCTATATTTGAGATTTATTCCCAAGATAGTCCTTTGTAAGTAATGTTACTCAAATGATGATTAATTGGGAGATATTTTGATATTTTGATCATCCAAATTTAAAGTATATTCTCGAAACAGTTATTTCTTTACAACTAAATGTAAAATTGAAAAAATACATTGACTATAAATAATTCATGAATTATATAATACTTACAAAAAAATCTTTTAAATTTCAAATCAAACACACATCTTTAATTAGAAAAAACCATTTTGGAAAAACACTTCTTTATAAATGATCATTATGAGAAATAATTCTAAATTTAGCACATAAAAAATATCAAAATACCCTCAATTAATCCTCATTTGAGTAACATTATTTACGAAAGACCATCTTCGTAATAAATCTCAATTACAGAGGATCATGTAGGTATTTAAAACTTATTGAGGACTGATTTGGACAAAATCATATTACAAAGGACTATTTTGAAAATTTACTCTTTTAGAAACGAATATGTCTCCGCGAGTAATTCTTTCTCTACTGGACAAATTTTAACACTTACTTTTTTTATTTTCAACAATTTTCATCAATTTTGTAAAATGAAAGAGTCAGAAATTTTATGAGATGAGAGAGAGTTGAGTGTCATGATTTTGCAATTTTCATGGCAATAAATGTTAAGGTTCAATTAGTTGAAATAAAGTGGGCAAATATTGTCTTTATAAGCCGGTAGGAGGCTGCCATCCTCTCCGACGCCGACCATGCACTTGGCATGCATCCTATGTTGCTTCGTGCTCCACCAGCTAGCCACCTTAAACCGAATCCCCGACGTCACCTCCAGCCGGAAAAGCACCAACCCACGCGACGCGCCGCCGACGAGCCCCGCCCATTGTCGAGCCGTCCGGTTCAGCGCCGCCGCCCCTCCCATCGAACCGGCAAAAACCGTCGTGTTCTTCGGCTGCTGGAAGAACCGCTTAGGAAACGAGGCGTTCCCTATGACCTGGTCCTCGTACGAAACCGCCACCGCAACGGCGTCGTACCGAATCCCAATAGCCTGGTTAGAGTTCCTCACCGTCACGTTGAAGTTGACACGCTCCGCCCCCGCGCCCTGCTGGGGTCCGCTTCCAGACCGGGACGAAACCGGGAAAGAGAAATCCTCGACGCGGACCCTGGGGCGGTGGGGCCGGAGGCTCAACCAAAAAATGAACGTTATGAGGGTGACGATGGCGAGAAGGCCTAAGACGATGGCGCAGACGAGCTTGGTGGTTCTGGTGGCCAGGCTCTCCTTCACGCGGTGGTAGTAATGGGTGGCGGCGCGTGAGAACTTGGACTGTCTTATTGGATGGACGGCGTTTGTGCCGCCGCTGTGGATGGGCACAATATTATTCCCTTCATGATCCATCTCTTTGTAGATTGTGCAAATAGAACTTAGAAAGATTTACGTACCAATAATGTTATTATTAATTATATGGCAGTAGCCTATTATTATTACGTGAGAAGTAAATACTCTAATTTCTTAATAATGGTCTGGTCTCACTTTAATTCCTATGGAATTTACGTAGAGAAAGAAAGAAACTTTTAACGATAAATATGACGTAGGAATAAAGTAATGCCATGTTGAATCCGTCCGTTGGAGAAAAGAATCCAAACTTAAGATAGTTGTGCTTTATGACTATCATTCCCTCTCCTTCTGTTCCAAAAACCCTTCCGATTTTGACTTTGGGAAAAAATAAGGAAAGTGAAATTTTGGTTGACTTTCCAATTTTGTCCCTGATGTGATAGAAAAAGTAAGATGGAATAGTTTGGTTATTAGTGAAAAAGTATGATGTGATAGGTAGGGTATGAAAAAGGAGGGGTAAAAGTAGTTTTTTAATAGAAAGTGGAAGTGTTTTGTGGAAAGCAAAAAAAACGAAAGAGGAAGAGTTTTGTGGAACGGAGGGAGTATATCTTCCCAAACATTAATCACAATATCAAAATTAATTTATTTTACTTGATTATTCTTATTAATCATTTCACAAAATAATATTCCTTTTGTCCGGAAATGTTCTTCCCGTATTGACTAGACACGTTTATTAAAAAGTACTCCCTCTGTCCCTGAAAATCTTTCTCCTTTCTTTTTTCATCATCCGTCTCAAAAAACACTTCTTATTTCTATTAAAAAGTCACTTTTACCCCTTATTTTTTCATATCCTACATATCACATCATACTCTTTTACTAATAATCTACTCATCAAAGCCTACTTTTACCCATCACATCAAATAACATTTTTGGAAATTCAATACTAAAATACATTCCCCTTAATTTTTTCTTCAAAATCAAAACATTACATGTTTAAAGGGACGGAGGGAGCAGTAAAAAAATTCCAAATTTTCAAAAATACACATACTATAAACTTTTAAATCTCCTTTTCTTATTAAAAATACAATAAAAAAGTACATTAGTGATCAAATAAAAGTGTATTATTGAAATTTATTCTTACATTTCCGGACGGAAGGAGTATACTCTTAGCTTATGACCTTTTGTTTCAAAAAACTTTTCATGTACTCTGTTAAAATTCCGATGGGCCGAAAACAAGTAGAGTGTCAGGTAAAATTAACCACTTGCATATAAAGTCGGAATCCACTATTGTAACCCAAAAACTTAAGCTGATAGGTAGGCCTTCACCCTTCTATATATGTTAGTAGTATTATTCTTTATTTTCTAATGTGGGAACTCCAACACTTCTTCTCAAGTGGTAACTAGCCTTACCTAGTCAACACTTGGACAAACGGGTTTAACATCTCTCAATCTTTTATAGCTAGCTCACACAACTAGCGATGGTGTCTCAATCTCTTTTAGCCAACTCAACCCAAACCACGGACGGGTATCTTATTTTTCTAAACCCACGTCCAACAACCATGAAGAATTGAACCTGGATCGAACCTGCTCTGATGTCATGTTAAAATTCTGGAAGACCGAGAACAGGTAGAGTGTTGAGTAAAATTAATCACTTGCATGTAAAGTTGGGATTTACTTCCAAATACTTAAATTGATAGATAGGGCTTCACTCTTCTATATATGCTAGTGGTATTATTCTTTATTTCTCAATGTGGGAACTTCAACATACTCCCTCCGATCCGTCCTAATTTAATTTGTCTATTTACTAATTCACAGGGTTCAACTTTGATCACTTTAATTAATTTCTTTATTCGCTTTCGTTAATCAAATGATAAAATAATATAGCATGTTACATCATGTTCTGTATATTTTTTATATTGTTTTAAAATTTTTAATTTTTTTTAATTCTACCCTAATTTTTATAAAAATTAATTTGTTAACAACTTCAACCAAAGATCATAAACAACAACGGGAAAAATAAAATGGGACGTTAATAGCTCTAAAACATCAGCCACGGCTAAATCTGCCCCTCACTCATCCTCGGTCCCTACCGGCTCCCACTGCAAATGCACACAACCGGATCCTAAAACATCCTGAGAACAAACACCCTTCATACTTATCAAGAAATTTTCTTGAGATGTT